TACGTGACCAAGTAGCGTTATATTGATCACGTCCAAACTATACATTTGCCTATGCGAACGTTTAGTTGTAAACAAAGCTAACAGGTTAACTGGCTCTCTATTCAGTAATCGTTGACCAATACGCCCGGGTTAAAGTCAATCACGAGGGTCTAAAATATAAACCTAAGTAAATTGGATTGTGATCCGCCACGCTGGGCTCCAGTTTAATAGATTCTTGTTTAATATCTTCCCGGGACTTACATTTAAGTTTCTGTTACAAGTTGTGTTTGAAACTTCAATACCCCCGCCGCAGCAAACCTGCCGACTAAGCGAATTTATATTTGTCTGAATTAAGTTATTTTCAATTAAATCTATTTAAATAACATTAGGTTTAACGAGTACCTAGGTTTGCTGCTACAAGGAAACTAATACAGTGTGTTTTTGTTTTAGTAAAATATTAATAGCTTAGTATAAAATAAATGAATTTGCCAAGTTTGTAACTTTGTAAAATATGGTATCTTGATTAAAATATTGATACCCAGTACGTGCATTGGGGTACACCATATCAAAACCAAAAGGGTAAAATCTAATTTTTTATCAAGATCAATGAAAAAATAATCGTATTTGGGTACGATAATACAAAATACCTAAAGAAACAGATTAATTAAAACAAATTAATTAGTCAACTTACGGATTTGTACCATATCACCATTGGTTAAAATTCAGTCTACATTTGAGCATAGACGTAATAGCTATTTACCTTACAAGTGTAGTAAGAGCGTTTTTACATCACGCAGGGGAAGGTTGTGCAACGAGCGGAAGCGAGTTGCATAATTTACCTAAGTGATGTAAACACGCTCTTGCGTAACGTGTAACGTACAAGATTTTACCTGACCCGACAATATACAGGAGGTTACGAACAATATTAATCATTGTCCATTTCACTCTCTTAACAGTAACGTTCATTTACAAACAAAAGCTAGGTTAGGAACATTAACAATAAAATTCAAGAGCACAGCTGATCTCTAGCGTTGAACGTCGTTGGCTCCATAGAGGTATATTTTTTAAGTTAATCACTCAATGTTATTTAAATGGGTTTCATTACATCACCGAGTGAGTTTTTGATACTTTACATCACTCGAGAAGTAAAGAAGTTGTATACATCACGCTTGGGATAGGGAAGTTTAACATGGCGGGTTAGGTAAAGAAATAAATGTAATTCTTTTTGCCTATGATTTGAGTTAGATCGATAGTGAAATACCTATTTAAATGCCACTAGTGTATTGATAGTCGGGGATGGTCTGCGACTGTGACACTGGCCACATTCAAGATTGTGTGGCTAAAACAATTAACTGTGGCTCGGTCATTTGTTAAATTGCTGTTTGCTGATTGCGAAATTGCATTTAAACCTCGGTCTAAGCGTTGGTTGTCGCTGTTCTTAGTTATCTTCTACAGTACTTTTCTTTCTGTCAATCAATTACGGTTCTATTGTACAGGAAAACGCCCTCTTAGTACTAAGTGAGATATATTTTGATTTTGAAATATATAAGGAAAGTAAATGAAAGATATACGTCTTATAAAACTTAAAACATATATTTACGCTTAAACTGTCACTCACAAGACGGTAAATATACAAAACAGACACGGTAAGTGGTGATCGATTTCAAATGGACACTCCAATCATTATAAGACCCAATAGGTGAATAACACCTAACTTTAAATATTTAAGTTAAAAGTTTAATATTTAATTTACTGCATCTTTTGTAGTGATAGCCTACCTTTTTGTTTATGTGACAAATATTTTCTTCCTTCGATTGTAACACTTAGAAGGCTTAAAGTTAATCGAAGAAATCATTTTAGCAAGTTGTTCGTTGTGTGATAAAAAAACTTAAACTTGTTTTCATTCGGTTTGCTAAACAGTTTACAAAATAAATAGTCGGAAAAAGAGGGAAAACAAACCGATTGTCCAATACTTCTCTGACTCAATAACTTTGACAGGTTTTTATTTCAGTTAAACATTTGATTAGACAAGAAACGTCAACCAAATTTGGAAATTTAAATATAAATTGAATAAGAGTTTAATGTAAGCACATTTTATCACTTCCATTTGCAATGTTATTGTAAGTATACAATGGGAAGGGTTTGATTTCAGATTATCTCATATCCAAACATTTGGCAGATTCGGATTAGCGTTGTATCCTTCCATCATGTTCTTTGTATGTTCACGGATTCATACAAGAACACGTTTCTACCCCAGTAATGTACAAATGGTGAATCAGTTTTATCCATGTTTTACCAACCCCTTTGTCACTTGTAAATCTTTATGATATGTTCATTCAAATTTCGGCTAAAGTTGTGTGATTGTTTATTGGATCTCAATTGAGATGTGTAAACCTACTTTTCATTTTGAGAGATAACTACAACCTGTGTAGATTTCATTCCCCATTTCTTCTCTAAATTAAATTTAGCCACAAAAACTTCTGATCGATGATTTTAACTTGAATTATTAATCTTGGGCTGTAATTGGAAAACATTTTTAAACGTAGTCGTTGGTGTTAAATTATTATGTAGTGTATTAGATTGCGTAAATAATGTATTTTGGTCGTGACATGTTCAAGAATGTTATCCTAATTAAGCTTTGTAGTCTCTTTCTGTTAATTAGATCGTAGACCTATTTACTGCAATAGTGTAATACTTTTCTTACAATAGTGTGATTGCATTGTGGTTAACCTACGATATAGTGCATGGTATAAAAAATAATTCATTAAACTTGGAATGTAGTATTGGGCTAGAATTTGGTGTGTTGCTAGTCTAGCTTCTCGGACATCGGTGCGGGAGGGACGGGTTCAGTTCATGGCACATCCATAAGTCTTTAATATGGGTTTGTACCGCTTTCCCTTAAAAGTGTTTGTACTCACGTAGACTTCTAGTAAAAAATGTCACTGACGTAGGAAAAATTTGATAAAATACAATGGGTGGCCATACACTGCATAGACAAGTTTCCAGACGATTCCGTCCTGAAATAAAATGTTAACTTTGTTGTCAACTTAGGTTAACACTCTTAACTTTTAAGAAATGTCAAAATATTGTACCATAATGTATTGATACCCGTGCGTCGTGTGTTTTACATGTAAAACCCCTGCCTTATACGACGCTGAGAGTGGGCAGTATGCTGGGCTGGCCATTGCCCAAATTCCTATCAGCCACTTCTAGACCAGATGTTTTTATTTTTGTACCGAAGCAACAAACCGTGTCTTTCATTTACGGGGTTGCGAAACGGCGTCCGGCTCGCATTGTGATCTGGTGTGTTTTATTTCTCAAATAGATTCACCATATTGTTTTACAACGAAGTTCTCATATCTCTTTCGGAGCGTTTCAACGTTTTGAACAACCTTTGTTTATAGAGTGCATATCTCTCTACGATTTTTTTATTTCAGTTGGTTATCGTAGTACGTGGCAGAAGAATATCACGAGTGAATGCGGAATGTTTTAATGTCTGAAGCAGATGGCGCGCAACAGCTTCTGTAACAGACAGATTATTCTGATTTTATCAATTCATTGGCTCTAAGCCCTGCGTTTGACAGCCTCCCACGGTTTACACAATTCTTGCGAGTTCGATTCACGATTTGTTGTTTGTATTTTGTTTTCCCATTATTTCTATCAAATTGTTATAACGTGATGTAAGATTTGTAGCGCCGCCGTTGGATTAAACATCTCATGTTTTTCTTTGTAACATACTTTTATAATATAATCGAATCTGAAGTTAAGTACAGGTATTCTGAAATGTAAGAAATAACTAGCCTTCTTGCCCCGTTCGTGACATGGTCACTCATTTTGTGTCGTCATACAGATAACTGGCACTTTTTCATCAAGAACAACGGTTTTTAACACCAAAAAACAAATTGCTGATTATTTTTCATGTCCTTATTTCTAACTTTTTCATTATAAACTGTGCGTTATACCATTAAATTCTTAAAAACTCCATGTAAAACAGTTTCTCATGTAAAAAAGCACGAGAAACCGAATTGAGCATTCTTGAATCAAACAGTTTCCTACACAGTTATTGCAGTTCGTTACATCACGTCTACACAGTTAAATTAATTTCTGAACTAATGCCAATCAAAACGCCTATTTCTTCAGTGGCAACCTCCTACAGATGTTACACGCAGAGAATTAACAAACCAATTCATCAATTAATTGACTCGCTATGTATAACCTGTTTTATCTTTGTCAGCTGTTGCCCATAAATAAGCGAAATCGCTCTTGTGCTGTGCGGCTTCATTAGTGTTATTTTTGTCTGCGAATCGTCACGTGTTGTGAACCACGCGTTTACTTCCTTTCATCTCGGCGTTGCGATCAGTTATGAGTTGGTTTATGCTTTAATGGCAAAACTAGGTTTGCCCATTAGATGTTTTGGATTCCCCTTTAATGTTTAGTGTTTGGAATGTTGTGTGATCGTTCACTGTCACAAATAGGGTACGAAGAGGAGTCAAAATTGATTTAGTCTCTTGAGGGTTTTTTTCTTTGGGTTTACTTAACGTCCTGGTTTACCATACTCCATTTATTCGTTTTTATTGCAATCTTACGTATTATATACGAGGTTCTTGATGGCTTTATTTTGTTTAAAAAATAATCTATCTATATATGGTTTTATTTATATTAAATAACGTTACAAATACTTGATCACAAAGGCAAAGGCAGAGAAATTTTATCATGCATACGTATTTTCTCAAGTGTAAAAACTGTTAGTTGTGTTTAGCAAGACGAAGTGTTCTTGTTCATCATGTTCCTTCAAAGATTATTGTTTGATTTTCGAAATAATAAAAAAAAATACGATGACCTTTCCTTGGGATCGAACCAGAGACATAGTGCAAGCGAACACTCTTAATTTACTTTAACTTAAGAGAAGATAACAATATTGATCAAATTAAGGTTTATTGTCATTTGTATTACTGATCTGTTATTTCTAGTTGTACTAGTCTCACAGATGTTTCTCATAATTTCCTTAACCCCTACCTCACGTTCGACAGTGTAGATACAGCAAAGCGTGTCAAGGAAGAACTGAACGGGGCTGACATCTACTCGGGCTGCTGCACAATCAAGATTGAGTTCGCTAAGGTAAGAACTTCGATTAGCTATATCTGTGTAGATTTAATTACAGGAACAATACAACACCATTGCTCTGTTCTTGTTGCTTTCTGCAATCATTATCTATTCTTAACCATGTGTATATTGCGATTTACATTTACTCCACAATCAAGTGTTTCCTTTACAAAAACTGTCGTGCATTAACTGCGCCAAAGAGTTTCTTAATTGCGCCAAGCCCTCAAAGGGTCCCAAAATGTTCCTGAGTTGCGCCAAGCCCAAGCCAGGTAGGGGTGACTTGACGGCAGAAGGAATGTCCTTGTTTAGGTTCCATCCTAACCAATCTTAACCAAATTTAACCTAACCAAACCTAACCTCCTCAATTATGCAGTCAAAGATCCCTGGAGCAGTGGGTGCAATTACCGCCTGCCCACAAAAGCAGTGACGTGTTGCGAGCCAGCTAACTCCACTGGCCGTCATCTAGATTCCTTCGCAAGCAGTATATTACACCCGCTGTATCAAGGCTGTCGCGTCATTACAGGTACAGCGGTGTTGACAGCGGCGTGTCCTGCGTGCTAGCTTGACGCCACTGGCCGTCATCTAGATTCCTTCGCAAGCAGTATATTACACCCAATAAAAGGTTAAATTACCTGTGTCCGCTGTATCAAGGCTGTCGCGTCATTACAGGTACAGCGGTGTTGACAGCGGCGTGTGCTGCGTGCCAGCTTGACGCCACTGGCCGTCATCTAGATTCCTTCGCAAGCAATATATTACAACCTTAACACCCGCTGTATCAAGGTTGTCGCGTCATTACAGGTACTGTACAGCGGTGTTTACAGCGGCGTGTGCTGCGTGCTAGCTTGACGCCACTGGCCGTCATCTAGATTCCTTCGCAAGCAGTATATTACACCCGCTGTATCAAGGTTGTCGCGTCATTACAGGTATTGTACAGCGGTGTTGACAGCGGCGTGTGCTGCGTGCCAGCTTGACGCCACTGGTCGGCATCTAGATTCCTTCGCAAGCAGTATATTACAACCTTAACACCCGCTGTATCAAGGGTGTCGCGTCATTACAGGTATTGTACAGCGGTGTTGACAGCGGCGTGTGCTGCGTGCCAGCTTGACGCCACTGGTCGGCATCTAGATTCCTTCGCGAGCAGTATATTACAACCTTTACACCCGCTGTATCCGCTGTATCAAGGTTGTCGCGTCATTACAGGTACAGCGGTGTGTGCTGCGTGCCAGCTTGACGCCACTGGCCGCCATACCTTCGCAAGCAGTATATTACAACCTTTACACCCGCTGTATCAAGGTTGTCGCGTCATTACAGGTACATCGGTGTTGACAGCGGTGTGCGCTGCGTGCCAGCTTGACGCCACTCCTGGCCGTCACATAGCATTGTATGTAATCCCCGAGCGTGACCATGCTGTATATCTTCGTCTGTCGCATTCTTGCTAAATTTATTGGTACACCAGTGGTTAATCTCGGGAGGTGATTAGTTTTAATAATCAACCGTTACTTGGTTTGGCGCCGTGCCGGTCTTGCAGTATTGACGCGCTAAGTGAGTTGAATGTTTTGTGTTGAACTGAGTTATTTTAATTCCCTACGGACCATGGCCGAATGTATTTACCAGAGGGAGGTAGCTCTGTCTAAGCATTTTTCGCAAAGTAACACTAGACAACATCATCAGTTGATTGCACTATAGTTTGTGTGGTAAGCTCCGCAGAGTCTTGTTGAATTTTTATGGTTTAATTATAACCAATAAACTGGGAAATACATTCATATCTCGGTAGTGTAATCTCGTTTTGGAAAAAATACTCTGTTTTGAAACTATTCGTTATCTCGTTTACCCCGTTAGCTGTAACGTATGTGTTAATCAACTAATGCACCCCGGCTTAATGTTAACCGTGTTAATTTCGAAACACGACACTCGCGATCGTAAACAAGTGATAAATCCCGGTCAGAACAATAACCGTTTGATATTGCACATGTGGCTCGTCCATCTGACAATCGGCGACATAACGACCAGATAGCGGCAACGTTCTGTGCCCCATACTGCAACGGCCGCATGAGAGTGGGCGAATTTTGCCGGTCGAATATTACAACGGTTTTAATTGTTAGCTTGTTAAAGCAGCGTATTGCTACATTGTCGGTTGTGGTTAATATCTTTAATGCCACTTATGTGTTTTAAAGTTTTGTTAAATCGTTTTCTTTTAAAACAATTATCGGTAGAACAATATTCCAAATATTTTTCCCGCTTTGTATATAGAAAGACTGCCGGTCGATATTTACAATATATGTCATGTTTTGTGGGATATTTAAAGTCGATTGTTTAACGTCAACGCTTTCTGTTAAACTAAATTTTAGCCTTCACTAAACGTTATAACGAGGCATTGTCAACAATCGTTTTTTTTTTTTTTTACGATTCATAACTGAGTGTCAAAGATGGAGGAGTATTACTCTTGGGTAAAACGTATGAATGCTTATAAATCCATGCTCTACCGAATGTCGCGTATGGGGAAGTGTGGAAGTGACTAGAGACATTATTGGAATTGAGTCATGTCCTCTAAAACGAAACGTAAATACAAGGAGGTGCCAAAGTACCAAACATTTACCCCTTCACTATACAGCCCTAAAAAAACTACCTTATGAACCGCAGTCCACCCTTGTACCGCACTTTTATCACTTCCCCTTCTCCTCGTCAGCACATGTAGTTGTCACTGCTAATTGAAAACCGCACCGGGAACAGTAAAGTGGTAAACAAACGAGCACGCCAGACGGCTCGGCGACGTTTAGACGTTCACGCTAATTTGTTTAACGGCGGTCGACGGATTTGTTGTCATAAGACGTCGTAGAGTAATGACACGAGCCGCTCGTTCTGGTCCGTCTACAGACTAATACGTGCGACTTGGTGGCTGGTGAGAATTGGGACAAAGGTTTGAAATACTTGGGAAATATGTTGATTTGTAAATCAGGTCCTTCTACAGTTGATAACTTTTAACGTGGTCGCTGAAGATGAATTGGGCTGATGACGAGACAAATGTTTCAAATCCTCATATGTCTCCTTGGAAATCCGGTAATACTTGATTACTTTTGACTTGGTGGCTTAAAAGATTTGTACATATGGTGAAGCAAAGGTTTGTAATACTTGTGATTTTGCACCTTAGTAAATTCGTGGATGAATTGCATGCAGTTTAAATTGCGTGACGAAATACCCAATGCGTCTTAACTTGCTGACTGAAGAGTGTCAGTTTCAGTTAAGACAGATATTTTGACGCCACCTTCGTTAATTTAGCCTAGCCTAGTAATTTGTCACAGCCACAAAGGTAAGTGACTAATGGAGCCACGTGTTGATATTTCACGGATTTACCACCCTCAATCGAAGCACATTTGGCTTTGTTGAATCCGCTAAAGCTTTTTACACAATATTATTCACATTTTTGGCTAAATGCTTTCTTAATTGCGAGACGAGTACTGCATTATTCACATCGTAGGACACGCTAGGCTTTGGCTTAAAAGGTCTTGCATATTACATCACGCTATACCTAGAGGGTCGCGACGTAGTGACTTGCTTAAAGACGATGGTGATTGGCGGGATTCGAACTCGGGGTCTCTGAAACAGGAATGACAACTCAGTTCTTGTTCTTGACGACTCTTCAATAGCTATGAAATGTGTTGTATATACAATATTTATTTTCTTCTCGCCGATCTGCTACTGTTTAGCCAGTGTAGTCGAATAGCACAATCGCCGGCCGCGGTTTTCCAAATTTACTGCTCGGTTGCCCTCAATCGCCTCTGTTTACGGTCGGCCCACCTCGTAATGCCCCTTGTTTACCGGCTGATGCTGCTTTCATAGGGAAACTGTTTGTGTAACCATGGCAACATGTAAACTAAGATGGGTAGACGAAAATTGGGTTAATTCTCACATTGGAAAACTTAATTCGAGTAGATTTTTGAAAGTTTGATTTTATTGGAGATTAATAACTAATCTCCAATTATTGTTCATTTTATTTAGATTTATGTTTATTAAGCATGTGTACCACACTATTTTTCTAGAGACCGTTGTATCAACCACACCGGGCTCTTGCTAGTACATTTTTAAAGGATCTTTTATTATTATACATATTTTGATTATTTATGCAGAATCTTCGTTTTACAGCCTTTTTTCACTTTTATTTTGTACTTGAATTTAATTCTCAGGTTTGTTTTAACATTTGTCCTTCAGTTACAAAATGAGTCGTGATTAAATTTACCTTTTTTGGTAAAGCAAGAAATACGTTTAGTCTTGAAATGTATTTTTCTATGTTATTTACAACTCTGGCTATGGTGCAACAATTGTATTTATAAGGTTAAGTCAAGGTCCAATAACTTTGATCCGACGTTGATGGTGCTATTTGCATGTTGGGCCAAAGTTGGACTGGGTGCTACGTAAAATTATTTACCAACATCTCGTTGAAATATTTTGATTTGAATACTAACACCTCAAAGCCGTGCAGCGTAGCGTTGTCTTACACATAAGGATGTTGCTAAAATAAACACAACACACGGAGTGCGGGATTTGTGGATTTGGGTCAGCAATGTGTGGATGAGTGGGTGGAGAGGGGGGGGGGAGATTCACTTAACATGAATGTTGGATACGGCCTCGGGCCTGTGTTCTCAAAATATATCAACAAAAACAAAGATCCAAGCCAGAGACGCCGCGCCGTACTCTGTCTATTGTTGATTCAACCTGAAACAGTGTTTGTGCAATTGGGTGAACTACCGAGTGCTATGTTTATTACGGAGAAATTGTTGCGTTGGATTTTTTGTAATTCAACGTTAATGGGGAGTACAGATTACAAATTTTGTTTGTTAACACCCAAGGTATTTAACTCGCAGCCATACTTGAGTAAGAATTCTACGGCTCATTTTGTCATTGGCGTGAAAAGTCTTTAATTTGAACTACAATGTACACTAGGAAATGTGTAATAGGAAGTGAACCATTCTTCCAACCTGTGTGAGTGTCAAATTATTGTTGGACGAGGAATAAGGAAT